AGCTAATATGCTAACAAGTATCATCAAATGTTTTAAAACATGGTTTAACCGTATCCCCAAATTTCAACCTATATAACTGCCCCATTTGCAAATAGAAATAATCAAATTGGCTTTCTGGCAGATACGCGAAATGATTTCGGTTCATTATTCAGAACTAGATTTCGTAAGATTCCCAAATGTTCTTGAGGACCTTTTGTGAAGAAGAAATTGACACTCAGAAAACCAAATTTCAAGTAGAGCAAATTGAAATTAGTTGAGAAGAAGCTCACTTACATATGTACAATTTACTTCGCCGCTTCGTATAGCCGCTGCAATCAATTTCAAAATCGCTCCACATTGGTTTATTCTCTATACCAATGATGTGCACCCAACATATTTATTTGTACTTAGGGAGCAGTCTTTATATGACTGAGCTAAAATTCGCTATGAAAGTGCGTTCACCCCACCTCCGCTCCGGCCTGTCAAACCCCCTCCATTCAGAAGTAAGTATGGTCTTCACGAATCCCATGTGATCGAAATGATATGATTATGTGATAAGAAGGGTAGGTGGCGTACGCTTATCACCAGGTCATATGAGTGCTTTGCAGCGCAAAAAGTGATGTAAAAACTCGTTACGTTGCTTGATCATTTCAGATGACACATACTTTCATAGATAAAATGAGCTTAAGGCACCAACGATCAGAAAAAGTGCTTAAGAGAGGTATCCCGAATGTGACACGTATACTCACCGGGAAAGAATATCAGGCCTTTTGAAGTCTTTCTTGCAGATGTTGCAGTAGTATTGCTTCTTATCGTCGTCATCTCCTTGCGCTTCTGATGACAATGAACCTGGAGACTTCTGGAGATCTGAAGAACTGCCGTCTGTTCGAGGAGTTGGCGATAGGCCAAGAAAAGGTGAGGTTGCTAGCCGATAAGACTCTGTCGACGACAGCGGACTGGACACTGAGGGCGAGACAAGAGGATGTCCAGATGGAGTGAGTAGAAGATACTAAAAAAACATATTTGAACGGCTTAACCTTAAATCGTTAAAATTCATACATTTA